ATTTCATTTCTATAAAGTTGTGATTTGATATGTTAAAATACCAAATTTTTCGGGGTGGTGCCTAATAATTCTAACTTAGGTCATTCAACTTTAAATTTTATGGTTCGAACCCTCCTACGTCTAGAAGTAAAAAAAAAAACAAACTTTAAATTTTATGTCAAAAAAAAAATGTCTAATAGAATTTAGTCTTTTCGTATTAGTGTCTAGATTGGTAAACTTTTATGATGTCTTATAGGTCAAAGAAGTTTATTAGATATAAATTTAGAAATTTAGAAATCTATTTAATATTTATAAAGCTTAGAAACTTATGTGACGATTTTTTAAAGTTTAGAAGTGTATTTGACTATTTGACACAATCCTGAAAGTTGACTGAACTTCTAACTTGTATTTTAAAAATGATTTTTAATACCCATATGACTTTCGAAGTCTCGAGATTGCACCCATTATACATGCTACATGTATCAAATTAAATAGTTAGTACTAACTGGTAAAAGGACAAATTTAATAGATTTTGCAAATGGAGATATACTTGAATTAATTTCTAACACATAGATACATATAATTGGCACAATGTGGAAGCCCATTAATTAGAGTCATAAACAAGAGGATTATGTTTCGAGTGTTGAAAGAAAATCAGAAAGAAGATGTCCGACAATCTTTGGGCCTGCCTGAAAGAGCATTAATTGAACCCAAAATCACATTTATGAATTATGATGCTAAGCTGTTAGTTGGATGTTGTTACTTGAGGTTTATATTTGGATTGGGCCAACGACGTAAGAAAATTTAAAAAAAAGAGACTTCAAACGAAGAAAATGTAGCAGCGAATTGCAAGATATACACAGTATTTACAATACCATAACTTTCCAGCTGAAAATTAATGGGTTTCCAATACCATAACTTTCGTAGAAGTTACTTAGGTTAGGAATGGGATTGGGAAAGTAGTATCAATCCCAAAAGGATTTCTGAAGTCGTCCCTCCCTTTTCTTGTATGGGATAAGATGTCCCATTCTGTAACCAGCAATCGGTTAACAACTTATGGAGGCATTTGATTAAGTTTCATCCTTAAGTTCGATTGTTTTCATGTTTGTTGTACGGGAAACATTTGATTGATTAACTTCACTCGAACTAAAGTTTGATTGTTTTCTGTTGTTAATTTATATTGGTGGAGCCGATTGCTTTAGTATTTAATGCATGAACATATCCAACAACTTTTTTCAATTGCTTCCATCGAATTTTTTAGCTCTTCATCAATACCCTTTTTTTGTGTATAAAGGGGGGGAGAGTTAGTTAAATTGTTGAAAAAGAGAGTTCATGAGGATCCCACTTCTAGGCAAAGATTGAACCAAACCCTCTTTTGTGCAAAAATATCACTGTGGACAGAGACCTGAATTCAACTATAACAAAGATTTCTCCAACCGACAGCCAAGTATAGATTTTATGCGAGCATTGTAATAATGTCATGGAATTTTGACAAGAATCGCATCATACTTCTAAACCATCGGCTGCCGTCCAAAAAATAAAGTGACAAATAAAATTGAAATAGAAACAACAAATTTACATGAATGCCAGGATCAGCAACTCAGTACTCATCATTGTTCCTTCTACCGTCTAACAGCTACAAGGGAAACTGAGATTTGGAAACATTGCGGCCCTTATCAACGGTTAGTACTTGAACGTGTTTTCCTCAATCTTGTGCGAGCTACTTTTAGGGGTTCTTCCATGACGGTATCTTTTGGGGGAGGATTTGCGTTCTCGTCCACTGAAGGTGGCACTGGTTCGACCTGCGTTGGCTCCGCTTCAGGTGGTAAAGATTGGCTTCTGGCTGGTGGTTCAGATGCTGCAGCTGCATTTTGGGAAATATGAACTTCGACTGAAGTTGCTGGTTTCAATGCTTTCGGAGTATTAGGAACTTCGACTGTGGTTGTCGGTTTTGACACTTTCTGAGTATTAGGAAGAACTTCAACTGTGGTTTTTGGTTTTGATGCTTGAGACACACCCACCTCCTCTTCAGCTACATCTTTTTGGGTATGACTTGAAGATGGAGATGATGGTGGTTCAATTCGCACTTGATTAGTAGTGGTTGCCGGGCGTTTTGAGGCCACAGTGTCTGGTGGAACCCTTGCGGCCCCTGGCTGTCGCTGTAGTTTTAGAGAAATAAGCATGTAAATGACATTAGCCCAATAAATGCAACGACTATTTTCTTACGTTCGTTCAATTGTGCCTCTTCAAGTATGCATGTAATGAAATCAATGCTTTAAAAAAATGTGGAACTGCTTCTTTTCATATCATTCTGCTACTAAATTTTGAGGGTAAAAAAGGCAAATGTTCAGTTAAAGTAGGTACCCATCCATGTCACATTTTACAATCTGGCCTGTAAATTAGAGGATACAAATCATTACACGCTGGAAAATCCTAGGTCTAGGTAGACTTGAAATGCATAAGATCATAATAGATGTGGTTAATATATAACAGAGAACAGCATCACTCGATGAAATACCATTTCGGAACCAAAAGATGAATAATAATAAGACAATATTGGTTGAACTAAACTTATCTACAAATACCTGAGACTGGCGAGGCCTTGCTGTTGATTGTGCAGCAACATACTGCAAGATCTCGTATATCCTTGTTTGACCATAACTTGCAGCTCTCTGCCAGTAGACAACAGCAATGTCACCAGCTCTGGTCCTTAGTTCCAATAAATTTCGGTCAATATCCGTCTCATGCTTTGCTACGTATGGTTTAAAGAAGGAATCATACACATAAGTTGTTCCCTGACATATGGAAAGTTATTAGGGAGAAGATAAGTGGTTCTGGAAAGAAGATGGTCCAGGGGAAAGGGGAAGAGAGAGCCTAAAGTTCAGATTCTGATTCCTTACCCTTGTTTTAGGGTACCAGAGATATATAAAGAATGCCAATTTAGCTTCACTATACATAGGAACCCTGCGCAAATGAAAGAGAAGAATAAAAAAGACTATTAGTCACGAGTACAGAGTAGCTAACTGTAAGAAAACAACAGAATCCTAGAAAAAACAATTTAAACAAAAAGAGGGCACTGGGTCCGTAACAACAACTCAATCTACATGGAACCCCTACCATGAAATGAATGCATCTCCAATCCTCTCACAAACTGTCAAAACAGCAACCAAAATCCTGAAACCAAAAGGAAAGCCAATCGATATTGACACCCGGAACTCTATTTACGACAATTGGGAAAAAATAAAATTTATCACATACCAGTACTGGCACCAAAAGCGAAGTTGCTCAATCTCTGGCTTGTTCATTTCAACAGTTTTATAGCACTCATAGGCAGGAAAAGCATAGCCAAAAATCATCCTGCCGACAAAATTAAAAAGATATGTATATTAATACAACACGGATAGTTTGTATTTCATAGGTACGCAAGCAATTTGTTATCAAGTGGACTTACACGAGTCCTCTGGTAAGAAACGAGCCAATCATCTTGAATACCTAACAAAATTTAGACAACAGTTATGTAAAATTAGAAGCGTCATGGTTAGATTATAATGAAGCTAATAAACAAGTGAATTAAATAATGTGAGAGAATCGTCTAATCTTATAAAAAGTAGATCACAAGGACTAAGAAGTAATCAAAATATCGAAAAGTTCCATATAAATAATACCT